GAGTTAGATTTTATTTTACTTGTATACGTATACATTATTTTTAATCTAATAATTTATATATATATATATATATATATTGTGAAAATATTAATAAAATAAATATTTCAAAATATATAAATAATTTTATAAGAATTAATAATTATTATCTAACATAGTAATGAAATGTATAAATTAAAAATTATTATTATTATTATTATTATTATTATTATTAATGATAGTGGTATAAATGATATTTTATTAATAAAACAATATTTGTCAGAAATTAAAATAATTTAAAAAAAATTATGAAGTGTCATATATTTAAACTTGTTAGGGAAAGGAAGTGTATTTTTTTTTACATGAGAAATTAGGGAATGAAACTGAATTTTTTAATATAAAAGATGATGATAATATAACATTCATATTTTCAGGAAAAAAATGTAATTTACTCATATTTTTATCAATAATTATAATTTTATTTTCATTGGAAATAATTTTTTATATTAGGCTGTAAATATTTAATTTTTTAAATTATATTATATATTAATATGAAATATTCATTAACTTTGTTAATAATTAAATTTTGTGGATTATTTAGATCAATAACTTGTTAGTTAAAATATTTAGATTGTGAAGTCAACACTCATTTAATATTTTATTTTTTAATTCAACTATTTAATATTTTCTTTATAACATATTAAATGTATTTAATTTTCATTTAATATTTCCTTTAAATAACATTGAGTGGATATGAAGAAAAAAAAATATAAACACGACCCTATCCACCTCACCTGAGGGACTAACCTTCTTTACTATTAATTTGAGGCAACAAGTTTCTAACACGGAATGTTTAATGACTTTAATGGTAATTTGTTGTAAAATTATTTAACACATTCATTTAATCACAATCTATCATAAATAAATGATCAATATATTAACTTTTGTGACAACTATATATCTTAAAAGTCATAAAATGATAATTTCTGTTCGATTAATTATGTAAAATTATTTATACTAATATTACATAATCATTAAACTCATTTACATTATTATTATTACTATTATTATTATTATTATAAAATAAATTAAAATTTTATTATTTACACCTGTATTAAATTTACATAAATATATATTTTTCTAATTTTTCATAAAATATATGCACATTAGTAAATTAATTAAAATTTAGTTAAAAAGTAGGAGTATAATTAATCAAAAAATAATAATATTCCCCTGAACTTCGAAAAAAACAACTAAAAACAACTGTTAGTATCACTTTTCTTTTTTTTTTTACATATATTGGTGTTTTTTTTCATAGCTTTATATTATGAAATTCTTAATCTATTGCAGGTATTTTTAATAGTTTTCCAGGAAAATATTGTTTAAATCTAATAATTTGATTGAAAATGTGTTAGTAATAAAAAAAAATCAATTATAAAACAATTAAAGGCTTGTTTAGTGTTATTTTTATTCTTTAATTATAAAATTATTACCTTATTTTCAATATATATATATATATATTTTTACCAACATTCCTCAGTCCAATTGTAAGATCTCGAGTTTAACTTTTCGTTTTAATAAAAAAAAAATAATCGAAAAGAATAAAAAAATATCTATATTACACCATGGTACAAAAAAAATTCTATATTTCGATACAGATCGACAAAATGTGAAATAAATGAATAAAATAATAATAATAATAATTAATATGTTAAAATTTATCAATTTGATTTTTTTTATTTAATTTAATATAAATTAATCAAAAGCTTATCTATCTTCTCTTCAATTCTCTTTTACTTTTCTTTTGCTAAATAATTTTACTTTTTATATCTTTCTTCTTTTCTATTCTTTTGACTACATTTTATTTCTTTCCTCATTATCAAACATATCAAAAGAGAAGTGTAACTCACATAATCAGCATTGGACCTTGATTGTATGGCCCATAACTGAGAGGTGTCCATTGTTTTTTTTTTTTTTTTTTAACTATTTAATGGTATTATAATTTTAATATTTATTTTATATTATTTTAAAAATAAATTAAATTATCATCTTTTATGTATTTCTATTTTTATATTTAAAATATAAAGTGATACAATTATAATGTCTTGTTATCTTTATTGTCAATTTTTTTAAAACATTATATTTATAAAATTATAAATTATATTTTTTATTCCTCTAAAAAATTTTAAGTTTGATTCTAGTTTCTCAATTTATTTTTGTCTTATTTTTATCTTTTTAATTTGGAGATACATTATTTTTGGTTCTTAAAGTTATTTATATAATATTTTATAATAAATTATTATATAAAGTTAAATTGAATAAAAA